GCAGCGGCGTGGACGTGGGGCTCCATCCAGGACCCCAGGATCATGACCTGAGCTGAAGGCAGACATTAAACCAACTAAGCCACCCAGGCACCCCTAAAGAAAGTCAATTTCAAAACCACTATAGTTACTTTTTTTCCCTTAAGAAAGTGAATTTTTACTCTTTCCTTAATTCTTAAATCCCTAATAAAATAAAGAGCAGGCTGTGTGCTATTTGACCAGAGCTCTGCTTCGTTTCTCCACTTGTGTCTCAGTTACACTTTGTTGGGTCTGGGACTTGAATTCACCTTCCTTGCAAGCTACTAAGTTTCATGGATGCTGGAAGAAGGTATGAGATTCTTTGGTCAATGACAAAGAACTTTCTTACACAAGGTACGGTAAGCAGCATGAATATCAGCATATTTACAAGTTTATCTTGCCTCAAACTCCATAGGGTTTACAAAATATTACCCAGATGGATGCTACTTACATAGTGGATTTCCATAACAGCTAAGGTACACTAAGCCTAGTGAACCATTGTTTTTATTTTAGTTTATTTTTTTTGCAATCAGCTAGCAAACTTGCTTTTTGTCTCACATGGAGATATTACCATATCCATCAAGGTTTCTTGCTACAAACACAACACTGAGAAAATAGCTCAGGAAAAGAAGCATTAGGACCTTGAATTCTGACACATTCGGAAAGACATCTAGGAGCACTAAAGCCCCATGGAAGACTCTCCCAATATACCTTGTGGTGGTTTCACCTTCACATTGGCTTTCCCCATTGGCCGTTATCATTATACACGGAGGGGAACAGTATTGTCCCTGACAGCTACCTGGAAGAGCCTTAAGCTTCCCTGTGGTTGGACCATATATGACTTAATCACTGGGGCTGGGGTAATGTTCTTGATTTAGGCCTAGCTTTTGTATCCATTCCTGAACAAATCTCTGTGTTAAGGGGGAAAGATTACTCTGATTGCCTTAGATCAAGGTAACCATGTTGCTGGGGTGGGAACATCAATTTTACTTAACCCAGTAGTTACTGCCCAATGGGGGGGAGGGGGAAAATGTTAGGGAGGCAGTCACTAAATAGTCTACATAGACCTTAAGTGGTATGATTCAAGAATCTTGCTGTATTTCAGATTTTTCCAAGTCAAATGAGGTGAGAAAAAGAAAATAAATGAGAATTCTTTGGCTCTCTTTTTTATACCTTTACTCTGAGAAACTTTATCTAGTTTTTTATTCTACTCATATTAATTGAGCACCAATTAGCAGTCAAGAATTGTATTAGACCTGGGGGTACAGTTTTGAATAAATTGGAAACATCAGCTAACCTCACAGGGTTAATCATCTGGTGTGGATTCAGACAATTTAAGAGACCATTCAAATGAGAGAAAGTGCAGGGTGATGGCAGCACATGGAAGGAACACCTGACCTGGACATGGGGGCAGAGGAGGATGGTTAGGAAAAGCTTTCTGGAGAATGTGATATGTAATCTGAGGCCAGAAGGATGGTAGGAATTATCAGGTGATCTGTGTGTGGAAAGGACGGGATTGGTCAGAAGCATGACCTAGGCGATGGAACAGCAAAGCAGGTTAAAGAAACTAAAAGTAGTTCCATGTGTCTGAATCATAAAATTCAAGGTGAGAGATGAGGTCAGAGAAGAAGTGAGGAGTAGGGGCAGAACATATTCTCTATATTAAAGAGTTTTGACTATCCTGAAAGCCCTTGAAGACTTTAAACAAAGGGGAGAAATAAATATTTCATTTTAGAAATTTCACCTTGGCTGTGAAGTCAAAAATGAATTGAGGGTGGAAACAAAGCTGAGACAGACGAATTAGAAAACCGTTGAAATCAAGGCCAGAGATAGAAGGAATTATACTAGTGGGAATGGAGTGAAAGGGGCAGATCTACAGTCTATTTAAAAGTTGGATCCATACTTCTTAATGAGTAACTGGACACAGGAGATGTGCATTAGGAAGTCCATCAGTCTTGGAAACAGGATAGCAATGATAAGAACCAGCATATTGAATTCAGGCAGGCAAAAGTTCAGATCTCTACAGCTTAGAATCTAAGGCTGAATTAATTACCAGTAAAAGGGAGACACTATGACTAAGTACATAGCATGGTTACTTGTGGATGAATAAAATACTATATGTCAAGTTCCTGACACAGAGTAAATCTTCAGTAAATTGAGCAATATTTGAGTCCTTGGTTCTCTGGAGGAACTGGTTGGATGGAGCAGCTGTTCCTGAAGTACAGCAGATGGGAGTGTGCTGCTGCAAGAAACAATAAACTGGACCTACAATAGTTTAATCAATATGTTTTTTTTTTTTCACAATATGGAGACTGGAGATGGAGCTATTGCATTAATTCAACCAGAACTGGAGTCTTTGTAGCTATCTTCAGCTTTATCTCATGGTCACAATATGGCTGCCTTGCCCAGTTCTAGCCTCCAGCATTATATTCACATTTAAGTCAGGATTGAGGGGAACCAGGCATAAAATAAAGGGGGGATAAGTTTGTCAATTATCCTGAGATGGGAAACACAGGAAAAGAAGCAGAATTTGGAGGAAAAATAATGAACTTGATTTTGAATATACAGAGTGTTAGGTTTCTGTAATATAGCTACCTAAAAACAGGTATAATGGGCAGTTGAATATATTGGCCTAGAGTGACATCTGAGCTTGAGGGGGCAGGTTAAATTCTGTGGGGTGAATATGAGAACCCATTTAAAGGATGTAAGGTGAGAAAAGTAGACCAGGGCATACCCCTGGAAGAGAACACACACATTTAATGAATGTGTAGAAGCTGAGGGCTGCCAAAGGTGACCAAAGAGTGGCTAGAGAGGCAAGAGATGTCATGTTTGGTATCCTAGAATAGAAGCCTAAGACAGCAGACAATCTAAGGAGGACACGGTCAATAATCTCAAGTGCTCATAAAGGCAAGGAGGTAGTAAGTGACCTTGCTTAGAGCTTTTCCTATTGTGAGGATAAAAGCTAGCCTGGACTGGGTTGAGAAATACAAAGACAAGTGGAAGGAGAAAGAACACATGTCAATAGTTCTTTTTCTTCTATTCTCAGAGTTCATATTTTAGGATGTTACTTATAAAATTTTTTTGTTTTTCAAAAAAAGATTTGGGTATTGTCAATTCACCTTTTTGGAGAGAATTAAGCTAGAGATGTGTGTCTTGTCTCATGCCTTTCAAAGAGTCCCTTTGAGCACCGACTACTCTCATTATGTCGTCTTCCTTACTCCAGGGAGAAGGCACAAACAAAACCACTCGACACATTTGACTTCTGGGGAGCAAGATTGTATAAAGGAAGGTTTGCTGCAGAGCACGTCCTAGTACTGAAACTGTCTGGAAGACAGTTTTGTCTGGTACCACATGTAACACAAGCTAACTTTCCCAAGCTTTTCTTTATTTAGTATGTTTTAATGTGGATGAATGTCTTGGAAAATAAAAATATGGGAAAATACAAATGTTCCATTTGTACAATTTTTGGTAGATCGTATTCAGATTTAAAACATTAAAATGCTTTGGACCACATGTAAAATCAACTTGTATTTTGGACCACCCAGACTTGGAACACTGTGATGAAGGACTACAAAAATAAGAAACGTGTAGGTGATATTGTATGTAGTTGGCTATTTTGGTTTAAGAAGTTTTTTTCCTGCTGAGGGAGGAAGAAAATGAAACATTTGTTTAAATTTAAAATACTCCAAATCAGGATCTCTGGGTGGCTCAGCGGTTTAGCACCTGCCTTTTGCCCAGGGTGTGATCTTGGAGTTCCAGGATTGAGTCTCACATCAGGTTCCCTGCATGGAGCCTGCTTCTCTCTCTCTCTCTCTCTCTCTCTCTCTCTCTCTCTCTCATAAATAAATAAAATCTTTAAAGAAAATAAAATAAATACTCCAAACCATGCAAGAGACATAGTTAAAAGAATTTCCAGGTGGAAATTCTTTTCTTCTCCATTTCCTCCTCCCTCCCTCCAACTCTAAAATATATAGACGTATCTCATAGTTCAAAAAAGTACTTTTTAGAGTAGGAGATTTTTTAAAAACAAAAACAAACGTTTTGCTTTCTTTTATTTCCTCTTCTTATGGGATTAGACAGTAAAGGCGGAGAAAAATAATTTCGCCCTCTTGGACTTTTGTCTGTTTCAATCACCAATGGGGTCACTCTCAAAATATTTATTTGAGAAAATCAAATTGTCCGGTAGTGGAGTTGTCAGAGCTCATATTCTAGGATGTCACTCACTCTGGCAGCCTAGAGATTAAAACCTTCTTGTGGTCTCTACTATTCATAGGATTTTTTTTAAAAGATTTTATTTATTTATTCACGAGAGACACACAGAGAGAGATAGAGGCAGAGACACAAGCAGAGGGAGAAGCAGGCCCCATGCAGGGAGCCTGACGTGGGACTCGATCCCCGGTCTCCAGGATCACGCCCTGGGCTGAAGGCGGCGCTAAACCGCTGAGCCACCAGGGCTGCCCTATTCATAGGATTTTTAAAATGATTTTATTTATTTATTCATGAGAGACACGAAAGAGAGAGGGAGAGAGAGAGAGAGAGAGAGACAGAGACAGAGACAGAGAGACAGAGACACAGGCAGAGGGAGAAGCAGGCTCCATGCAGGGAGCCCGATGCGGGTCTCCATCCCTGGTCTCTATCCTGGAGCTCTGTCCCGGGTCTCGATCCCGGGTCTCCAGGATCCCGGATCTCCGGGATCCCAGGACTCCAGGATCACACCCCGGGCCAAAGGCAGGCGCTAAACCGCTGAGCTACCCAGGGATCCCCTATTCATAGGATTATTAAACGGAAGTTTTGCAATCGTTCTTTCCCTTAAGAGCGGGCAGGAAATCAGTGAGCGCTGGAGAACTCTGATTTCCCCGCCCCCATCTCGCCCCCAAAGAGGACCTTCCCGCAGCGAGGCTCCCTCCCTCGCCTGCAGTGGGCCGAGCGAAGGCGCGTGACGCGCCAGTGGGCTGTGCCCGCGGTGCTCGCAGCGCCCCTGCCTCCCCGGGCCCGGCCAGCGGCGGCCGCAGCGGCGGCTCGGGCTCCCTGCGCCGCGGTGCTGCTCCTGGCCAGGCGCCTGCAGCTCAGGACACATCTCAACTGCGCCCCAAGCCAAGCCTCGTCTGTCTTTTCAAGCTCTTCATGCCACCCAACTAAGAGAGAAAATGGGCACGGGGGATTTTATCTGCATTTCCATGACCGGAGGGGCGCCCTGGGGGTTCAGATTGCAAGGTGGCAAGGAGCAGCAGCAGCCCTTACAAGTGGCTAAGGTAGGACCACCACCACCCAAGAGGTGCTGTCGCCGCTCCGTGCTGCGAAGGAGTGAGAGCAACCTGTTGATGGTTTTTTTCAAGTTCTGATTCAGGAGTTTAAATATTAGTTTGAGTTTGGCGCTGATGTTAAATTTTCCTAGGATGCGGGTTTGTTCGTGTTTCGAAAAAACTTTGGAGTAGCATATAGCATCTGTGTAATTAACCAGTAATTGAAAGTGGGGGGGGGGGGAGGGGGAAGAGTGCAGTATTTATCAGCTGAAGAAAAAAAAAAAAAAGCCTAGTTAATTCAGCTCCTCTGACACCCAGCAAGACACTTGGGAAGTTTCTTCTAGGCAGTTTTAGGATTTGCAGTTGAGTTATTGTTTCGTGTTACTTTACTTGGTTCTGGGAGAAAAATGCTCACAGCCTAACCTATTGACTTGGCTTTTGGGGACTTGTAGAAAGCGTTGGTAGTGATATTTACAGTGCAACATTTATTGAAAGGCCAGTTTTGGACGATACTTTTAAATACTCTATGAAGATGTCAGAAAATCTATTTGAAAGAATATTCTTTCAAGGATTTGACAAATAATTGCAAAAATCTATTCCATTCCATCATGCGTACTCATCTAGCTAAGTGCTCAAAATAAAATTCAAAGACACTAGAAATATAATGTAAGTAACTTATAGGAAACTTTGAAATGCATCTAATAACAATTTTAAATGTTTTAGATGTTCCCATCCTATTGCTTGTTTCTTGCTACCAGTTTTCTGGAGGGGCATCTAATAACAATTTTAAATGTTTTAGATGTTCCCATCCTATTGCTTGTTTCTTGCTACCAGTTTTCTGGAGGGGATATGATATTGTCTAAATTGGAAGTCAGCTAAAATAAATGTTAAAATGCATGAAATTTAAGTAGCATTTTACCTAATTTGAGTACTAAATTGTAGTATTGTAGAAAAGAACATGTTTGATTAATTTCAACTATATATATAGATTCTTAGGAAATATGTGGACTACTGGCCTTTGTAGTTATTCTTTCTCTTGGCCTTTTTTTTTTTTTTTTTTTTTTTTTTTAATGTTCACTGTGAGGAAAGGAATTTCTATGAAATTTTCTGCTCCTGGGCTTCCATCGCAAAATCCTTTCACAATGCAATGGTGGAATCCTGCCACCTAGTGAAAACTTCAAACATCAAGAATGAAGCATAAAACACAAGGTGAAAAGCAGAATTTTTAGAACTGGAAAGTTTCTCAGAGACCTCCAGTTCAACTTGCGGATTTTAGATAAGGAAAGAGCCCAGAGAGTTTAAGTAACTTTCCTCTGCTTCCAACTAGCATTAATTGAAGAATCTGGAAAGATGGTTTCATTGTGTTGCTGTGGGAGTCGATGGCAGGAAACATCAGATGAAACAGGGATACCTAATTTGGAGTGTGCAGAATTCATGAGACTGAACTGGATTTGTTCTGGGTCTGGAATAGCAGTTGGCTGGCTACAGTTACTGAGATTTGGGTTCTAATTCCAGCTCTGATCTAACTTGTAGCCGGGCGGGAGACAAATCTCTCACCCTTCCTGAGTCATCTGTTGTGAGGTGGTGTGTGTGTGTGTGTGTGTGTGTGTGTGTGTGTAGAGGGAGAAAGGAAAAATTTTTGAGTGAGGTAGGAAAAGAGGAAGTAAAGAGGAAGTTGTACTCTTCCCTCAGTGAGATTCTCTATTGCTCTAGTATTTTACTGTTCTAATAGTACAACTTAGAATCTCTTGCCTACCAGTTAAATTGTAGAGACAAAGGTGGCTGGGTGCTGTTTTTTCCTATTAGTTCTTCTGTGGCCAGATCTTAAGAGTAGGGTGGGTATTGGGTTTCTCCAACGTCCTCAATGTGTTTATTGCAAAGCAGAACTATTATACGGTGATTCTTTTTGAAGAACTAAGGCAAATTGCTAGTGAAGGGTGCTTGGGACCATTTCTCTGCTGATGACATCTCTATCAACAGGATTCAGAGAGGCTTATGATGTGTGTGTGTCAAAAATTCAATCTTGCTCTTCCACCAAGTCAACTTTCCTAAAATGCCCTGGAAACATATTTGTGATTTTTTAAAAAAATTATTAAAGTATTTGGATGTTTGTTTTAATTTTCTAGTTTGTGATAGTATGAGTAATTGTTTATTCTAAAATATCATTATGAAAGCATCTGGATGTTTGCCTTAATCCGTGTGTGTGTGTGTGTGTGTGTGTGTGTGAGAGAGAGAGAGAGAGAGAGAGAGAGAGAGACTGCAGTGTGCAGTCTAGTTTTTTCCTTTGTGTTAAAGGTGACTAGAGAGCCTTCTAAAGAAGATAAAATTTCTGAGTTAGCATGGCTATGCCTACTTTTGCTGGTCTATTTTTTCTCCTTAATTCAAACTTACACTTAATTTCTTAGACTAGCATTATTTGTTCTAGAAAACCCTTGGAACAAAGTGCTTGTCACTTTCTATGTTATCAAGGCCATGTCCTCAGTGGGATCACTGTTTTTCATTTAAACCTTCAAGTCAACTCGATTCCAGTAATGGTCGCTCAGCTCAATGAAGTGAACGTTGCATGGCATAGATTTCCTCCTTTTCCATGGTGATACTTATGAGGGCTAAGTTGCCTCCAAGAAGCAGGATGGGAGAGGAACAGGGCAGGAAGGCTGGGCAAAGATGGTTGCTAGCACACAGTGCTCGCAGTTTTGAAGAACATGCAGACGATAAATTTGGGAATTAAAGAAAAAATATATTAGCAAAGAAAAGGAAATATCAGACAGTGCTTGACAGGCCTCTTAAAATGGGAAGGGTACAAAGCAGTTCTATAGATAACAACAGTTTGACTTGTTATAAAGTATCTGATGTTCAGATTTTTTTTTGATGTTCAGATTTTTCATGGTTCTGTATCGAATGAAAATTGATCAAGCTGAATTAGTGAAAAAAAAAAACAAACCCTAGTCTAATGTTATAAACAATGATTAGAAGTTGAGTAGCTTTATAATTCCCAGTAAATAGCCTTCTAGTGACACATTCATCAATTTTGAGAGATGTTCACACATTTTTAGTATTTGGCTGGCTGATTGAACTGTAGGCAAACTCAAACTTTTAAGGATCACTAATAGAAGCATTAATAATCAAGCTTTTCATTGACATTGAAGCTCAAGGACATAAAATTCAGCTTTGTTTTCAAGATTAAATTGAATTTTTAAGAGGCTCAAATAATAACAGTTGCCTGGTTTTTAAGTGTTTATATATCTTTTAATTTATGCTCTAAATACATGTGATAGAAAGCAAGCATTCTAATACAGTTATAGGACAACATTCTGTAAAGTATATTTTCAGGAGATCATTCATAGAAACATTTACTGAGACACATTTTCTTTTATTATTATTATTATTATTATTATTATTTATTTATGATAGTCACAGAGAGAGAGAGAGAGAGGCAGAGACACAGGCAGAGGGAGAAGCAGGCTCCATGCACCGGGAGCCCGACGTGGGATTCGATCCCGGGTCTCCAGGATCGCGCCCTGAGCCAAAGGCAGGCGCCAAACCGCTGTGCCACCCAGGGATCCCCTGAGACACATTTTCAACATGAAACTTCATTGTATGTATACAGATATTCTTAGAAAAACTATTAGCATTTTACTTTACAAAACTCTTTTTTTTAAAAAAAAAAAAAAGATTTTTTTTTTTTTTTAATTCATGAGAGATACAGAGAGGCAGAGACATAGGCAGAGGGAGAAGCAGACTCCACGCAGGGAGCCCGATGTGGGACTCGATCCCAGGACTCTAGGATCATGCCCTGGGCAAAAGGCAGGCGCTAAACTGCTGAGCCACCCAGGGATTTCCAACAAAACTCTTTTTTGGAACATACACTTACATGGCCATGTCTCTGGACATGCTTTTGACAGATCACTTTGGAAAATCTTCCTATAAAGAAGTGAGGAGAAATTTTTGTTTTACAAATACTATGAACAATTCAGAAATAACTCACATTTTGAAAATAATGAATAAAGAAATATTTCCATTGTATCCTTTATATGTTTGAATGTTTAGAACTTTAAGCTTTCTTCAAAACATATAGATCACTATGGTATTTATTATTCTCTTATTAAACTTCTCTTCTTTTTTCTTTTTTAGAGAGGGAAAGAGGAAGAGGTAGGGTGGAGAAGGGGCAGAGGGAGAGAGAATCTCAAGCAGGCTCCATGCCCAGTGTGGAACCTGATGCAGGGCTCGATCTCACTACCCTGAGATCATAACCTGAGCCTAAATCAAGAGTTGGTCATTTAACCTATTGAGCTACCCAGGTGCCCCTGATTTCAATTCAAGGTTTCAATGAACTTTTATTAAAATTGAGGTAACAAATTGTAATCATCTATTTTATGAGGCAGAAGAGGATTTAATGATTCTTTATGCCCTTTGTTTAAAACTTTAAATAAAGGTATGTTATTTAGGTAAAGTACAATCAAATAACATAATCTTATCCATTAGTGCCATCAGTGAGGTCTCTGAAATGTTTCAAATAAAATAATTCTGGAAACATAGCTATTTCTAAAAAGAAAATAAATACTTTAATGCATTTGGATATGTGTATTTGAGGATAAGTGCTCCTTACTACATATGGAAAGTTAGTAACATCTTTGTTAGACAACATGACTGATCATTTTTTATTGAGTTTTTGAGTGCTTTCTAGAAATTCTAAAAACAAATATGCTTATACAAGTCCAGTGCACACTGTGTAAATCTATTAAGCATATGTTGTTTAAAATCTTTGTTTTGAAATTGTGTGTTTTAAGACAGATCACTGTTTGTTGAAAGACAATCAGCTGAGATAATGACTATGCCATAAACTTTACCATTATTGGAACATGACATGTATGTAGTGGGTATTTATCAAGCTCTTTTCAGGAAAAAATTTTTTTTGCAGTATTTTCTTTGCAGGTATTTTTCTTTCCAAATGACCCCCAAAACTTAAGAAGTAGTTTGAAAAATATCTTCATTTTAGAGATGAAGAAATT